CAGGCACCTGGCGGGCCCCCCTCTGCGAAGGATTGTTTTGGTGGCCCGGGGGGGGGGGGGGGGGGCACTTGGGTATTTTTTGGGTGGGTATGTGCCACCCGGGACTCCAAATTGGCACCCCGTTCTAAAAATAATTTCCTCTAAAATTGATACCCCGTTCTAGAAATGGGCCAATTTTTTATACCCCATTCTAGAATTCGCCCTAAAACTGATACCCCGTTCTAGAAATGGGCCAATTTTTTATACTCCGTTCTAGAAAGTTTGTAAGTTGAAATAGCCCTGTCTTTTAAAAAAGATATTTCTTTATTTGTTCGACTTACGCATCAAATAAATGCTTCTTCATAATCAGCAACAATTTTATAAGCAGAAGATAAAGCCGTGATCCACAATTTTTTATACCCCGTTCTAGAAAACGCCTCTGAAATGGATACCCTGTTCTAAATCAGGAGCTTCAAAATCACGACCCCGTCGGGCGGGACATACCCGTATAGGTAATGTATGGGAGTACCCCCCGGGAGTTTAACCCAGGATTAAGCCAAATCTTACGCAAGGTTTTCTTGTCTGAGAACATGTCAGTCGAGCTTACAAAATCAGTACTGTTGTGTCTTTACTTCGACATTCAGTGATGATAGCACAGAATGTTACTCTAAGCAATGCATAGTAATTAAGGTAAATACAAAAATGGAACAAAATTTTTAGTCTTGGATTAGCGCTGATCGGCCTTTCAGGAACCGGGGCCAGTAGTTTAAGTTATACTTCTGCAACCCTCAAATCAAAATTTGAGGACTAAGTAAGTTTAGTGCCTCTGTATTATTGCTGAGTAACGTAACGATTTATAGTTTGAACAGATAAAAGAGACCTTTTTAGTAAACATTACCTTTGATATGCAAATCTCTCTCGTAAAAGCGGGCCACCTGTAGAAAATAGGGACTTTTAGCACCGACAAAGGTGACGGCATCGAAAACGTGACTTTTAAAGTGAATTGGCGTTTTTCCAACTTTGTCGTGTTTATTCCAATTTGCTGAAAATTTCTAATGTAGGGAAATTTCCCTGGAGTTGATTTCTTTGGGACCGCACTCAAGTTTAGAAAGAGAAAGAAAAGTTCGTCGTCGCTTGTTTACGTCCTCCATAAAACGTGAAACTAGGCATTTTCACCTCGCAGTCGTGCAGTAACGGCAAAGAAATGTACAAAAAAGCGTGATGCACATGCAAACTAATTGTTTTGCTCAATAAACCTATTACTTTTTTGACATTCTTGTTGCCGTCGCCGTTGCTAAAACTCCCTAATAACTATTTCCTCGGCGCGCGCCTCGATTTCGGTCCAATAATCAACTTTTTCTCTGTATACACCTACCTTCAAAATGGCGTCAAATTTTGCTATTCTTTTACTTTTATGAAAATTGACCATCGATGCCTCGTTTCGTGGTAAAACTTCTCTTAAATTCTGAAAGTGCGATCGAGGCAAAGAGGGCTAATGAACAGTGTTAAGGAAAGTAGACAAGTAATGTATAAATTTTGGAGGTAATTCACTAACAATTTTTCTAACTCTTCATTTGTTACAGTCTCCCGAAGCAAAGCATTTGCAAATGAAAGGCTTTATAGCTAGATCGTGTCTTGACTATCTATGGGATGTTGGAGAGCGACTTCTACTAGCTTTTTGACAACAAAGACAGACGATATGTGGCTTACTGTGACCTCTCATCTGAGCCAGGTTCAGCCTGGACGCTAGTCATGTCCTTTAACAGAGCCAATAAGAATTTGCCCCAGTTTCAAAGGAAGACATTTTTAGATGACGCCCCTATCAACCATTCACTCCAAACTGGAACTCCTACCGCCAAACACTGGAACGAATGAAAAACATCCGTAGCCGCTCCTCTCACTAGCGTGCAACCTGCAGCTTCAACAGCCAGCAAGTCATTGATTACAGAGATTACATGAGGGGAAAGTTCAGCGACTTCGACATCATGACATTCCTTGGAGATGGAAAATGTCAACCTGTGGAATATGTAAATATCCGTGCGTATGCAGCTGGAAGTGGTACAACAGCACAGTTTTGGCAAATGTTGAACTCCTACATTTTGCATATCAACAGTGAGTCCACAGGCTGTGGTTTCAAGCCTAATATTGGAGCCATTCCAAGTGAAGACAACTTTGGCTACTATGGCAGTCCCAATAGCAACTTTCGGTGCACCGCAAGTGATGATTCAACAACCCAGTGGTGGTTTGGTGGATACTTGGCTAAAGCTTGAGTAAAAATAACTCTTCCCAGCCAGCATCCAACCTTTCTTGGAAGTTAAATGCAGTGATAATAATTTGAATCTCAGAATCTAAAATTAATTGGTTACAATCAGTAACTATTTGTTTTTAGGCTTAAATTAGGTAAAGTTGTGAGAATTAAAAATAGCTTTCCCCTTAAATTTTAAAAAAAGTGTTTTGTTATATTCATAGGGTAATGTAAGGTTCCATCGAGTCCTGATGTTTCGCTTGACTTGAAATTGGGAAAACAAAACTTCATCCCACATATGGGAATCCAAGACATTCCTGGATTCCGGATTATACACCTTGTATTCTGGATTCCAGGAACTGGATTCTGGATTCTTTGTCAGTGGAACTGGGAGTCTGGATTACAATTGTTAGTGGGATCCAGATTCCTTGATCCGTATTCCAGATTCCAAAGCCCGGGATTCTGGACTCCACAAGAAACATTTCCCACATTCTGGATTTCAAAAATAAAAATTTTCCGGATTCTGAATCCAGATTCCAAGGGTCCCCAATAGGGTTCTTCAATCCCGTAATCCCGATCCAAAGTTTCGTTTAATCACGTAATCCCGATGGCCCTTTCTTGCATCTCACCTCCTCAGCTCATACTTTCAATCCCAAAACTCACCCTACTTGTGCTGTAAAATCCAGAATCCCCAGTTTCAAATAAAGGGAAATCTCGGATCCCGAAAATACTATAGGTTTTCCTTGATCCCGTTACATGAGTCTTAAAATGACAGGGGAATGCTGGCAACTCCACATTCACACCACTCCTGAATAAATTATTTTCAAAGTACTTTCCATAAATTTTCTCAATCTTTTCCCTCTACCAGCTGTTGTATCTCTTTATGCGAAAAAAATTGTATTTTAGCTCTACGTTAGTGAATTTCTTACCGCTATTAACTCCATAATTTGCTTCTTCTGTGTGCACGTGCAAGTGACACAAATAGCTCAGGTACGTAGTCTGCATTTTATACCGGTAGTTTGGCCCTGGGAAAGTGATAAACTTTAAGTTTAAATTTATCGCGAAGATAGAGAAAAAAATTAGCAGAACACTTGGCTGATATACCTCGAATTCCCCTCCGTGGTACTGCGAACTTCTGCACTCAGCTGATGACACTCAGCTCACCTTTTCGCCACGTGAAAGAGCACGCGATCTGGTCAGCGGATACTCTATTAAGCGATTCCTTTTCTGTGTAATTCTTTCAAAACTATCATGGCGTCCAGAGCATCGTCACGTCGATTTCTTTTTCACGTTCCTTTTTAAGGGGTTAAACTCTATATGCAGCCTTCTGAGGAGGATCAAGGCCAATCTGTAGTCTTAGCAAGTCATTCAGGCTTGGGATTTGTTGCAGTTCACGTAGGTAAAGTCTCCGTCAAGTTACAACAAAACTTTCTGCAGCTTTCTGCGGTCTTACAACACAATCTTATTCGCACGATTAATCCGAGTTCAATATTTGACTTAAGCACTCATTTAATTGATATTTATTTATAAGACATTGTCAATAAAATGATGTTAGGCATGGGGTTATATCTTTTTCCCACTCACACCCATTTAGTCCATGAACAGTCCCGATTTTTTACTGACGGGAGGGGAGGAGGGGGCATCTGTACACAGCCTAATCCTATTAGGTCCATATTCTCTTGATCAGTTAGGAGGAAACAAGTTTTCACTTGATATTTCTGTTAAAAGGTGCTGGATTTCATTCCACTGTGCATGAGGCTGAATATAAAGAAGCCTGCAAATCTGCTTGTACAAAGGTATAATAAACTCAGGCACCTCACTTGCTGACCCATCACACACACAGTGATTTATTCCTAACTTGACATTATTACAGTCAAACCGGGAAAACTGTGAACACCAGTAATATTTCTGGAATGTTATTGTGTTGCAAAAAAAAGCCAATCAGGCATGACAAAACTGAACCGCAAACAAGAATGCTAATAATTGGTTTGTGGTTTTGTGGCTAGATCTTTGCTGTGATTGGTCATAACACAATAAACATTCCTTAGATATTCAAGTGTTCACCGTTTTCCCCGTTGTACTATAATAATATAGAAATGCAAGTGCATGTGGATGTTAATCTTTTTTGAAACTCGCAGACCACATCATGGCAGGACTATTTATTAATTGTCTCTCTAACCCTTAATTATCTGTGCAAATAATTCTATGGTGTTACCATTAAACCCCTGAATTGTACTTTATTTTTGGGATTTTTTACAAAAAGAATTTGAATTTTTTTATAGGTTTTTCTTTGGTCACCATCAGGGTTAAAATACCTTAATTTTTAGTTATTTTCATATTGCATAGTTATATAACATTCTTAGAAAAAAAAATATGCATGTCTTGCATAAAAACCTGAAATGTATCAACCCTTCTTTCCTTTCAAAGTTGATTAAATTAAAGACATGCCTGCTAATCTCTGTAAGTTGAATTTTTAACCATCTGTTTCTTTTCCATCCTAGGCCATTAAGGTGATAAAAAGAGGCTTATCAGCAAAAGAAGCTGTTGTAATTGCAATATCTACTTTAGAGGTACAAAATAACTTTTATTTATAATTTATTCATGAATATATGTGGAGTGGGGTAGGGTGGGATCATAAAGCAGAACTTTATTTTCTTACTACAAACCTGATATGGTATATGGTAAACTTTGAGTTAGTGCCTTGCCTGAAATCTTGTGGTGTGACCATTCAAAAGAAACTTCCTGGCCAGTACTTATGTTTTTAATTTTAAAAAAAAATTACAATAAAAGGTTTGGTAATGTTATTGAAGTTTGACTTTGAACCCTTGGTATGAAAGAATATAACCTATTAATTAACTCAGTGATTTGCAAGGAACATGGTCACATGGGTATGTTGTGGTTCAATGTTATCCTTGATTTAAATTTTTGTTTCCTTAAATTACTTTTGGGTATGGTAATGTATGATAATGACATGATAATGAGTTTGAAACAAAAGAAGATAAACTTTAAACTGAGGATAAACTTGAACCACAACAAGTACATACAAGCTTGTGTATTCTTATACTTTAGGACTCCCCTTGTACAAATGCAGGAACAGGTTCCAATTTGACCAGATCAGGTACCGTGGAGTGTGATGCATGTATTATGGATGGTGATTCCTCAGCATTTGGAGCTGTTGGTGCTTTAAAAGGTTATTTCTATTGGGAATTTATATGTTAAAACATTGATAAAAAAATACACTTTATTTAAAGAGGGTAGCACGGAATAGTTACAGAAACTAGTAAACTTGTGGCCCTCTGTCTACATTAAAATTAGAAAAAACATAAGATTCAAATATACAAAGTCTAAGTACAAAATAAATAAAACTAAGTTGAGTCTTAAGGAGTCTTCAATATATGAGAGAACTTCACCCTTGATGTGTTTGTATGCCATACAACATTTAGATCCATTTTATCTTGTTAAAAGTTAAGTTTCTGAAGGGAATTAAACCTTAGCTTCCCAAAGTATTTGACACTCACAATAACATCTTGGTTGCATACTGATGAAATCACTTTAAATAGATTTTTCTGATTTACTTCAAGTGTATATTTTGATATACATGTAATAAAAGTTTATTGAAAATTTATATTGTAGGAATAAAGAATCCCATACAGGTGGCCAGTAGGCTGTTGACTGAAGAGTTAAAAGGCCCTTCTTCAAATGGTCTCATTCCTCCAATGTATGTGTTGAAAATTTAAATTTTTTTTTTTCTGTTTAATACCTAGATGGCTGGTAGTTTTACCCCTTCCAGTGGAATATTTCCATTGGTGTTTCTGTATCCCTCGCAAAAAGGAAAAGGAGTACATGCATGCTGTACTTCCCTTAGATTATCTCTGTCATCATTGTAATCCCTAACATTATTCATGACAGTTTATACTCATCATGTTTAAGCTTTCTGGCTGGAGAAGGAGCATTTAATTGGGCTCTGGAACATGGATTTAATGAGTGCCAAGATAAAGATTTAATCACAGGTGAATCTCGCAGTGTTCATATTGCAGTGTTTGTGTATTAATTTTTAACAAAATAAAAGTTAAGGTGGATTAATTTGATTTACCAATACTTTTTGTAAGACAGGAGTTTGCAAACGTGGTGCAAGTGCAAAGCAAGGATACAGTCCACAAAAAATGCTGATGTGTGCCATAAACCTTGCCAGCTAGAAAACTTGTGCAACTTTTCATATGTGAGTACAAATGTGCAAAACATGTACAGGGTACAAATTAAAGGAATGGTTCAGAGTGTTTTTCTTTTAAACAAACTGTGAATAAACCAGTTTTCATCAGATAATGCTTTTTGATGCCTAAGAGAGCTACTGATAAATGTGAGTAAACAATATTATAACAGTGTGTTTATTTACCTCTAGGAATCTAATAGTATGGATACTGTTGGTGCTGTGTGCATGGACCGGAACGGCCAACTTTGCGCTGGAGCATCAAGTGGTGGGGTAATGTACAAGGTGCCAGGTCGCATTGGACAGGTCAGTCTTTCTTGTAGAGCCGTTTCTGTATAAAATTGTCCCGAGTGTACCTGTATTCAGTCATAGTCAGAAAAGGAAACCTGTAGTGTTGTCCCAAAGTAGAACATCATGTCCCATTTTTTCATTCTTCATCTTGGATCCCAGTGCTAGGTTTCTAAACCATTTTATGATGGCAGTGATCTTTGCAAATGGCCAATGTCAGTCCAAAAATATGACATTTCTTAGTCTGGCATTTTGCTTTCTACCTTTTAACCAAATAATTACAGCCCTTTTCATTAACATGCATGTGTTAGGTTTTTGGCTTCCGCCAGTCACCCTTACCCCCTTACACTGTACACTGTACATGCCTGACACTATAGGTCTTCTTCAGGGGGTTCAAAAATTCATGTCTGAAGATGTCAATTTTGTTGGTATAGATTTTGACCCATTGTCAGGGCTTCAAAAAAACCTTAAAATTCCATCTTGTCGTTTGGGCAAGCAGCTCTCACATTTTGCTTTCCTGGGGCCACTAGTTACTTACCTGGACCGTCACTCAGTGAGCAAGTGAACTTCAAAAGTTACTTGCTCAGCAAGAAAATTTACTTGTCCCAGACTACCAAATCAGACTTTTTTTAAACTCTTTTTCATTAACTTCTCTCAGGCAGCCATTTTCGGCAGTGGATGCTGGGCAACTAGCCATGATGTTAATGAAGTAGGAGTTGCATGTTGTACATCAGGTTTGTTTTATTTTTTTATGTTACTTTTTTTGTCACTCCTAGAGCTCTTTCCTACTCTTCATTACTTACAGAGCAATACTCTAGTAACAAGGTTGAATTTGCTACTAGAGCACTCATTTTGTATTTGTGTTACTAGGCTGTGGGGAACATTTGATCAAGACTCTGCTTGCTAAAGAATGTGCAATCTTAGCTTTAAATAGGTGAGTTAAGACAGTACAAGGCTAGGTATGCTGACCTTGGTCGATTGCCCAGAATGTGAATGAGGATAAGCAATAATTTCCTTATTTTTCCCATACAGGGTTTTTTATGTTTTTTTGGCCTCTCTATCCTGAATGAACTATGTAGTGTTGGGTTAACCTGTGATCAGGCGGTCCTTTGCTAACTTTTGTGCTATCCCCGAAAAAAGGATGCCTGATCACCAGTTAATGTTGGGTGAAACAAGACCTTGTTCTTCAGAAAGAAACAGCAGAGCACACATTTTGTCTGTTCTCCTGAACAGTGTGCTAAAATAGAGTTTGTTAATCTGATACGGGGTTGGTATCTTAAGTCTTTTTTATCTCTTTCCTAAAGAGGGTTAGACAATGCACAACACACCAGGGTATCCAATATCATTTCCAATTGATTTTGAATAAGTTTTGGACGAGAAGTTGAGGTGACATAGAAAACGTACAAAACCTGTCACAAACGTGACTATTTTCACTCCAATTAGAAAGTCTCTAAAAAGTTATTTTTTTGTTTTCCCCAGAGATGCAGTCTGTGCGGTTCAGGAGGGGCTTGGTAGCAAGTTTTTAGGTATGTTTTGCCAGTTAAACCAACACTTGAAGACTTCTGAACAAGCCTAAGCCAGTGGCTGTAGCCTTAGCCTGTTGTTCAGATAACCGGTACACTGCAAAGAGAAGTGAGCTTTTTTTTTCCCTCCAATTCCTCCATTTCTCAGCACTCCCCACTATCTAGATGCTTAGAACAGGCTAAACCACAATGTTAAGTAACAAGAACGAATACTATTTGGAATCACAAAATCTTAGTTTTTATATAGTTTGTTTAAATAAAGGAATTTTTCTTTCAACACAAGTGTTCTCCACTTCTTTTCCCGTACTTTCCCTGAACTCATAATCAACGCAGATCGCTGTTTTTGACTTCTATTTAGGTTCAAGTCTTCTTTCATCCGTGACGAAAAAGTTAGGAGGAGTATTGTTGCTACGAGTAGAGGGAGGGGAGGGTAATGAAGGTAAGTGACAGTGCTCCTACGCTAGCGTAGCCTCCCACGCAGGCGTTTTTAGGGGAGCTCGTATTTCGTGGGGAGGGAAGAAATACGAGCTCCCCTAAAAACGCCTGCGTGGGAGGCTAACGCTAGCGTTGTCGCACAAATTTTACACTAAACTCTTAGAAGCTTGACTCTTAAACGATGCAAGATTGCTAAAGAAAGTTCTGTGCCAAAGGAAGTTATTCATTGACCTGTGTCAGTGTAGGCGTCGATTCATTTTCAAAGTAGACTATCCCAAAAGAATCTTACCTAGCCTGCGAGCAAGATGTCGAGGTGAGAAGATGATGGAAAAGAGCGATAGTTCATATCCTTGAGGAGCTTTTTCTTTCCATGCGTGCTCGTCTGTGCGGTTAAAATCTGCCATATTTGTTCGGCAACTCTACAGATGCCGTTCTAGATGATATCAATGATATAGTGTCACGCTTACTTGTTGTTGGCAACGTTTTCATTTGAAAGGTCAAAGTGATGTGGCGCTTGCTACATATTTTCACAAATATGATTGGCTACAAAAGCCCTCGCTTTCTTTTTTCAACTAATCATGACGTGGGTGTTCTCATTTTTCCCGCGCTTGGCAGCGGCTACGCGTTTTAGTGCGAATTCTGATTGCTTTATTTCGCCCTGATTTTGTCATTGACCAGAGTTTATTGGCTAAACTAACCGGTTTGACAACCCATTTGTATCTCTACAGACTGCACTGTTGATCTCGTCTGGGGTCATACAACAGACAGCATGTGTATTGGCTACATGGCAGAACAGGACAAAAAACCAAAAGTACGCAAAGTACTTTATTTATATGCTGGTAGAGTTACTATTGTTTCTATAGCTTGCTCGTTCCCTGTGCCCGTTTGTCGGAAGTCCCGGTAACTTTTCGTCCCTGAAATCAAATATTTCAAATCAAAATCTTAGCATTAAAAGTGCAGGTCTCTGCTAATCTATTGAAGTCTCTATTTTGAATGTAAACAACAACAGCTTTTATTGCCGGCCTCCTATCGGGACTTTCGAGAAACGGGCCGCTAGGAAGAGCTTTCTAGCATGTTATGTCGTTCTTTAAAATCTTCAGTCTATTAAAGGGTACTGTTTGCTTTGGACAATATTACAAATTTAGGAATAAAAGATACTACTCTTCCTCTTGAGATTTTTAAATGGCTTGATTATTACCGTTTCATCCGTTATTAACCCCTCGTAAGGTGTAGTTGTATTTATCTTCTTCTTTGTTTGTTTTTGTTTTTCAAGGTGCGACTGTCCCGTTTGCAGCCAGGCCAGGTGGTTCCTTTATCAGTGGAAGGCACAGTTTACAGACTGTCCAATAGCTAGCATAGAGTTAGCGTAAATAGAATAACCACAATGAAACATGAGAGATCGGTGTTTGTATCAGTGGGGACATTTCCAGGTAGGAAGCCTGTGCCGCTGAATTCCGTCAGTACATTCAATGTGTAGGAAGCCTGCGCTACTGAGTTTCGTGCTGCTAGGGCAGTGTCTTTAGAGACAGTGGAACTTTTGGAGGGAGTTTATCATATAAGCAAAAACAATGTACGCACAGAATTTGAAACTAATGCAGTTGTTGGAAAATATGGAAATCACCAAAGTTTTAAATAAAAGTGTTTCTGTACACTTTCTTCTTCCGCTGAACTATTTAGTCCCGGTTCGAACGTCGCATTTCGCAAGTGCCCAATTTAATGCTAATACGGAAAATCTTTTGTTCTTGCTTATTTGCATTAGATTTGGAGCTTGTGAAATGTAACGTTCAAACAGGGCCTTACAAGTCTGTGTTGACATGTTTTATTCTCGTGAAACTTCAAGAATGTTGTTTGAGGGGATATAAACCGGCCATAGGGAGTTTTTACAACGATGATGGCGGCGGCAACGAAAATGCCAAAATAGTAAGACCCTGTTTACATGGAATGGGGGACCCCGGTCTACTGGGGTAGGTCTCTTTTGTTTTGTGTCCCCCAGAGCGTGAAAACAAAAGAAACCAACCCCACTAGACCGGGGTCCCCCACTCCATGTAAACAGGCCCTAATAGGTTTATTGAGGAAAACAACACGTTTGCACGTGCATCACGCTTTTTGTACATTTATTTGACGTCACTGCACGACTACGACGTAGAAATGCCTAATTTCATTTTGTTATGGAGGACATAAACAAGCGACGGTGAAATTTTCTTCCTCTTTTTAAACTTGAGCGCGGTCTCCAAGAAATCATAAACGCGACAAAGTTTGAAAAACGCCATTTTTTTTTATAAACGGCGTTTTCACTGCTGTCGCCGTCGTCCATGCTAAAAGTCTCTAATAGGGAGCTTAAAGGGACCCTCCGTTTTTTTGGTACATTTCGTTGCCGTCGTTGCACGACTACTACGTGGAACTGCCAAATTTCGCGTTTTGTGGAAGAAGTAAACACAAGACAACGACCCTCTGTTTCTTTTCCTCATTCTTAATGGAGTTCTTTAGAATTCAACTCCCGAAAAATTATCCAAGATTTGACGAAATGAACGAGATGAAATAAGCACGATAAAGTTTGAGGCAACGCAAACGCAGTTTTGAAGTGACGTTTTCGTAGCGGTCGACGAGGGATACTCCCTGTCTTGGGAGTCTACGCCTGAAAGGGGAACTTTTACCTGTTTCGGATATAATGAAGGGGAACCGAGAGATCACACTTGTTCAAGCATAGAAATGTTAAGAAAGTTAATATTTTTAGGGGTAGTGGCGTTTTTTGAAATTTTAAAAGTGTGTGAGTAGTATAGGACGCAACGATTGGTCCGTGTTTTGGAATTCTCATTAACATTTTTCATAATTTACAAATGGTGTATGAAGTGATAACCCATCATCCTTCTTGTGAATTGAATTTTGCAGGGGAATCTAATAAACCATGCGTTATTTTTTTTTACAGTATGTAGAGGGTAGACGNCTGCTGTCGCCGTCGTCCATGCTAAAAGTCTCTAATAGGGAGCTTAAAGGGACCCTCCGTTTTTTTGGTACATTTCGTTGCCGTCGTTGCACGACTACTACGTGGAACTGCCAAATTTCGCGTTTTGTGGAAGAAGTAAACACAAGACAACGACCCTCTGTTTCTTTTCTTCATTCTTAATGGAGTTCTTTAGAATTCAACTCCCGAAAAATTATCCAAGATTTGACGAAATGAACGAGATGAAATAAGCACGATAAAGTTTGAGGCAACGCAAACGCAGTTTTGAAGTGACGTTTTCGTAGCGGTCGACGAGGGATACTCCCTGTCTTGGGAGTCTACGCCTGAAAGGGGAACTTTTACCTGTTTCGGATATAATGAAGGGGAACCGAGAGATCACACTTGTTCAAGCATAGAAATGTTAAGAAAGTTAATATTTTTAGGGGTAGTGGCGTTTTTTGAAATTTTAAAAGTGTGTGAGTAGTATAGGACGCAACGATTGGTCCGTGTTTTGGAATTCTCATTAACATTTTTCATAATTTACAAATGGTGTATGAAGTGATAACCCATCATCCTTCTTGTGAATTGAATTTTGCAGGGGAATCTAATAAACCATGCGTTATTTTTTTTTACAGTATGTAGAGGGTAGACGAACGAGGAATGAATTTAATAAAGCTTAAGTCTTACAACAAAATCACTCACAAGAGGCAGATAAACTTATGTTCACGTATTTATTGTAATAATTTCTTTTTTAACATTATGTACAACAAAATCAGTGCAACACTTAGCAACGATCATGTACTTGGAAATAGTCTAGTTTCGAATTAAAAATTACCGCTGAATATAAACATTAACGACACATTCATACAAGGTTAGCCTCGACGTAAAGTAAAATATTCAGAAATTCTAGCAAGTAAGGTTTTGAAATTTGAATACACGCAATAGACAGAGTGATAAACAGGTCTTTCTCTCGTTGGAAATTGTGAGTATATTACTTCAGATTGAGGCTAAGGCTGTAAAAAGTGCGTCTTGAGTTCTTTAATTCAGCGGTCATAGCGAACTCGAAAATGGACTATTACACAGTTTTAAAACAATCAGATAATGCTCTCAAAAAATCGAGTAAATATTTATATACACGGCTATTTTAAGCTCTCTATAAAACTTTTCGTGAATCCTCATCACGTACCCAGATCTCTTCTATCACTTCCATGTAAGAACGAAGTAATATATCAAACATGAGACGCAGTGTTTCATCACCAGATGAAACACTGTGTCGAATGTTTGATATTTCTTCTCAAACAAAATCATTTTTGAAGGAGAAATTAAGGATGCAAAAATGAGCAGTTTTTCATCTGATATCCAAACACTCATTAAACATTAATTTCCTTTNTACAGTATGTAGAGGGTAGACGAACGAGGAATGAATTTAATAAAGCTTAAGTCTTACAACAAAATCACTCACAAGAGGCAGATAAACTTATGTTCACGTATTTATTGTAATAATTTCTTTTTTAACATTATGTACAACAAAATCAGTGCAACACTTAGCAACGATCATGTACTTGGAAATAGTCTAGTTTCGAATTAAAAATTACCGCTGAATATAAACATTAACGACACATTCATACAAGGTTAGCCTCGACGTAAAGTAAAATATTCAGAAATTCTAGCAAGTAAGGTTTTGAAATTTGAATACACGCAATAGACAGAGTGATAAACAGGTCTTTCTCTCGTTGGAAATTGTGAGTATATTACTTCAGATTGAGGCTAAGGCTGTAAAAAGTGCGTCTTGAGTTCTTTAATTCAGCGGTCATAGCGAACTCGAAAATGGACTATTACACAGTTTTAAAACAATCAGATAATGCTCTCAAAAAATCGAGTAAATATTTATATACACGGCTATTTTAAGCTCTCTATAAAACTTTTCGTGAATCCTCATCACGTACCCAGATCTCTTCTATCACTTCCATGTAAGAACGAAGTAATATATCAAACATGAGACGCAGTGTTTCATCACCAGATGAAACACTGTGTCGAATGTTTGATATTTCTTCTCAAACAAAATCATTTTTGAAGGAGAAATTAAGGATGCAAAAATGAGCAGTTTTTCATCTGATATCCAAACACTCATTAAACATTAATTTCCTTTGAATTTTCTTTATGACTTATTAATGAGTTTGAGAAATAAATATAAAAGCTACGGAAAGCGGTTTAATACTGTACACCGCCCTTTCAAATTGTTTACATTGCACTGGATTGCACTGTTTTCAAATACATTTTTCCGCTTGTTATTACTTATTATGCTAATTGTATTAATTTTTTCTGTGCTAAATAACAACATCAATTACTCCATTACTTTCCTATGATTATTGCTATGTTTATTATATATAGATGAAACAACTTCTAGACTAGCATTTAATTATAAACCCGTGTCCTGACAATAGTTCAAGGTAACTATATCAGTATTTCATGCAGAACAAGAAGATAATAGTTTTGAAATTTTGTTGCAGACTGAGACCAGCTCACCATAACAGTTAAGAAATGTAACTTCAAATGACATCGCCTAAACATAAGAAACAGTTTTTTTCCTGGCCTTTACTGAGTCATCTTTTTATCAGAAGACAGTCATAAAAAATAACTACATGGGATATGTAAAAAGAATCTATGACTGCCCAACTTTTTAAAAAGACATAATGACAAAATAGTCCTATATAGTGCTCAAAGACAACTCAGATTATCAGCTTCAATGCACTCTAATACTGTTTAAAATATGCAGTATCTTCTTGAGCTGAAAATGCCAGTGTAAATCGACTTGTTGGAATAACTTCAGAGACCGGCGCCATTTGGTTTTGAGGTCTTCTTTTCGCATCAGTCTGCCTGGAAAACCTGGAAGACAGAATAAAACCAAATTTTCAAGATACTGAAACTCATGTGAGACGGATAAGCTGTACAAACATATAGAGCTATAAGGATCGTCTAGAATTTCTGGACAATGCGTAACGTGAGTAAAACCTAAAACGTTTCTTTATCGCCAGAATGTATGAACTCCTACTATATTTAGATCGCTCGATACTGGCTATTATCTCTGGAAAAAGCTTTGCCTAGTCCCTGTTCGGCGTCTTTCCAGGTCTTTCTGGTCAATGCATTTCGGTGATGAATCCGAGACGAACTCGCTGGGACACGTGGCCCGAAACGCATCGGCGGCGCGTAATAGTAAGACCTAGAGACTAGGCAAGAAAAATCTTATACCAACAGGTACCGACGTAGTTTTAAATCAACCTCTTTTCCTAGGCCTTGTCCGTTAAAAAATGGAAGAGGTAGAGGCCCTGGAAACGAGGTTGGTTTTTAATAGGTGGATGGCTGTTGCATACCACCCCCCCCCTCCCCCCACGTTCGTTTATTTGTAGTTTTGACTGACTACTCATTTCATTCTTGGATTGACCTGCTGACATTTGGTCACTTTCGTATGGAAATGACCTTAGCCATTTGCGGATCCGGGGGAGGGACCTGGGGCCCGTTTCTCGAAAGTCCCGATAATTAACGGGCCCGGTAAGCTGTCTCCGTTTACATTAAAGATCGAGGTTTCAATAGTTTTGCATCTATCATGNCCCCCCCCCACCCCTCACTGCATCTCTGGGTCTGGATGATCGCCCCCCCTCCCCGCCACCCCCGTTGTCTGAAGGTCTTGATCCGCCACTGTTGGCAGTTGCTCTAGGATCGTCACATAGTCGGAAATATCGTCTTACAATAAATTTGTTACATGACTACCTAAATCAGTTATAAGTAGGGATATCAATGAGAGTTTACTGACCAGTAGCTTTTGCCAGCTTGCCCGCAGAGAATTGATCGGCTACAACTAGCTTATTCTCAATTTCACAGCTGAAAAATAAAACGTTCATGAAAATTGAGCATAATGTATCATGACAGGTAGTAGTATAAGAGTGTAGAGACGTATATGTCCATACAGGGGTAGGGTGTTAAATTCCATCGCAAAAAAATTTGATTTTTCACAGTCATGCCCTCTCAGAGATTTTGGCGGGAAACATTTGTATTGGTAGATGTCATGTGACCTCGAGGTAACCAATAAAACCGCGCGCTGTTGGGAACAAATTTGTAGCTATATAACAACTTTTGTCAGTTCTCACCTGGCAAACGGGAGGTTGAAGCGTTTTCTCAATGCGAGATCATAGGCTATCAAACCTAATGGTCTGTTGATACAAACTCTCTTCAACCTCCCCTCAAACCTGTGAAAATCAAGATGGTAGTCAGTGAATGCCATAAACACAATATCAAAAACAAACTGTTATCATGAGTTTACTGATCTCTCGTGATTCATTTGTTTACATTCTTTTGCAGAGTATTGATATTTCTAAACTTAAACTAAAGAATCAATCAGTTTTACCATCACAATTTTTCTCCGGAGATGATGGTTATACATGCGAGGAGCACACTTTCTTATAACATGAGGAAAACAACTTCGATGATTTTCCCACTTGTTACTGGAAAAGATGCCGATGATTTATAGGATGAATGAGAAAAGAAGGAGGGAACAAAATTGGAAAAACAAGAGAACTAAACAAAAGGGACGAAAAGTTGCGTTTTTCACTCAGCTATTTTTAGACACTCTGTTACAAGGCATTCTGCTTCATTCTGCTTACGACTGGGCTCGATATCACTAACCGCTGAACGGGAAACGAGCCCGCGCTCCTCCCCCTCTCTTTTCGGGGATGACCGAGAGAGCAGCGGAAGTCAAGACCAGTGTAAAATGGAATAACAAGCGCAAACCATACACTGTTTTTGCACGCAGAAAACTACGAAAGTAACACCAAATATTTTTAATGTTACCTCATCTGCAGGCTTTGGCAGAGCTTCTCAATCAGGCTAGCACACATTCTGCTGCAGCCTGCTTCGTTGTCAATATCTTCGATAACGATCACAAAGGGGTCACACCCAACCTTTGTTTCAATTTCTTTGGGAATAGTTCTGTAGGGTGATAATTAAAAAAAGTCAATGTTAAAAGACCTCCTTAGAAACCTATTTAGCGTGTTTTATTTAAGACAGCGCGATGTATCTCTCAATTTTAATTTCGTTCTACAAAACGGTCAATTCTGGAGAATTGTCTTTCAAATTTTGAACTTAGATAGAATATCCCATTGCTTTGATGCGCATTCTAAGCTACGGAACTCCCGTTTTCCTTCTAAAAAACCAGCTGAAAACATTTGAATACTAAGAAGTTCCCAGCTGAGGCTCATTCTGTCATCCCTTCGGTGAACTTTTTGATAAAGAGCGTAAATGTATGATGGGGACGAGGTTGGGTGAATCTCCTCAGTACCCCAGGAGGGGGGGGGGGGGGACTGCCACATATAGCCATATAGGTATGTGCGCTGTGTATGGTTTTCAAGCAGTTTACTCTGGGACAGGGATACAAATCAGAGAGTTTGGGTCTAGGATAGCTTATCATTTTCCAGGAAACTGATCAGTTGGTCAAGATTTGAGTCTAGACTAGGGAAACCGGGAATTGCCACTTCAAAATATAAAAAATTCAAATCGGTTCTGTTTTAACTGGACTGTTGTAGTAACCTCAGTAGTTTTTTAAAAACAGCAACTCTAAGATAGGGGGGATTGGGGGAGTTTACTCTAGTATAGGGTAGCAAAATTCACTTGAACTAGCTCTGGTATAGGCTAAGGGTTCCAGGATCCCAGCGGCACATCCCCACCCAAAAATTCCTAAAGTACCCCCCCCCGGACTCTGTACCTACCTTAGAAAGTACTCCAAGGCCGTGGAGTTCCCCCAAGGAAGGGAATGAATTGGTCTATTATCATTTGTTCTGATCTCCAACAAGGGCCTTGGAGTGAGTGATAATAAGTGGAATCCATATTCATGAAATCCTTTATAGTTCAGACAAGATTTCACAGATGAAAACAACTGTTCTTTAGCATACAACTCCACCCACTCGTAATGATCTTTTCTCGTCATAAAAGACAGAATAGAAAAGTCCTCATAGTGGATGTTTGAGGCTGGGGTTATTTTCTGTGGTGCACTCTGCTCAAAGGAAAACTGCATTCTAACGTGGATTGAATCACAGTCTCCTCGAAGAGGTCAACATACCACGTAGTTGTTCTCTTGTTCACCTGGCAAAAATCATATTAAAATAGTATAAAGTAAGGTCTTTTTTGACAAAAATCTTTGAAGCGAGATTAATTCAAATTTGCTTTATTTGATCTAGCATTTAAATTTAGGCTATTACTGTCTAGTCCATTTTTCTCAAACCGTGTAATTAAAACATAATGTCTTATTCTATGAATAAAAAATGTCATTTTTGATTAAAACTGTTCTAAAATTTCAATAAATTTAAAAGCGCTGATTTATGCGCGCGTTCAGTTACTGCGCGCAGCAGTCAAATCATGCTAATATCAGTATAAATTTAAAGAGGAAAGACGGCAGGCAGACAGACGGTTCTAACATTTGCTATATTTTAAAAATACATTGGAAATTGAAATTGAAACCATCTTTTGTCTTTATTTTTTTGTTTTTGTCCTCAGTCGCCTTTTCTTCGAAGCGCTCGTTGTTCAGTAACGGCTCAATCTTTCTACGAATGCGCGCGAGACGTGGAGAAAACGCGCTGTGATTGGTCGTTTTCAATTTAAATTCGTTTCCCTTTTATGGTCAAACTGGACTCACGTGGGGCCTGCAAACAATGTCCTATGATTGGTCAGAATTTTTCAATTTTTTTCCTTTTATGGTTACGTTCACTCCGGCCACGTGGCCTACAAATAACTCCCTACGATTGGTCAGAATTATTTCAAATTTGTGCCCTTATATGGCAAGGCTGACGCCATATGTTTTCAACGGCCTTACCTCGCACTCTCGAAAACCACAATGAAAGATGCATAAATTGGCATTTTTCTTCATTTATTACAAAACGGTCATCAACCACTAAGTTGCGCTTACCCTCTTTCTCTCAAATACTTGCGAAAATCTCAATTTGCTCTGATTACAACCCATTTCAGGCGCTATTTCTCTTCAATTCAAGTGACATAAGTCAAGTATACACAATGAGAGACAGTGCAAATTGAAGCTTGCTCGCGTGTGGCGTGTCGTTATATACTATACCATGACGTCACATGGTGACGTACTGGATTTGTTCTTTAAGTTGATTGGTTAAACTGAAAGCGAGGCCAGGTTTAAAATTTCAGTTGCGTTTGCGCCTGCGTTTCCGTTGGAACGAGGACTTTAGCACGAATGAAAATCAGCGCATGAATCAGCAAGAGCTGAACTTTCTCAGAAGCAAACGTCGGTATGGATAGCAACAGATAGACATTCTCAGAGGGAACAAAACTTCTCTTTTATGCAACCAGACACGTTTCCACAGCATATCCATCATAATCATTTCAAACTCATCTGAAAATCACGGCGTTGAATTTTATCGCGCCGATTAAGATCAAATTCCGTACACTTGGTTTTAACAGAAACTCAAGAGTTTCTGGTTATAGTAAGGAGCCGTTTTTTATTAAACAGATAAGATTTTGGAGAGATACAAATTTTGCCACCTTATAATCACATAGCAGTTAACACGAGGAATGATGATTGATTAAATCCCGTATCGGCTTTGAGAGAACCCACAACTTTTGAAAATCATGCTGTTAAAATTTATTCCCGCGTCATGAATCAATAGACCAATTTCAATGTAAAAAAATGTTACGTTTTAAGAAGATGAGCGTATAGCACGCAGCGGAAAAAGCCAACCAAAAAATATAACAGGCAAACGAAATATAGCGCGGGGATCCAGTGTGCCCCGAAATACAGCCCGGAACCAGGAGCGAAGTCGAAAATCCACCACTTAGGTATTAAGAAGACCTTAGGGAGGACGGTTGGCTCCGCCCTAGTTCCACACGAAAGTACTGCCTTTTAACGAGGCAGATTAGAATTTGCGAACGATACTACACGATATAATATAAAAGATACCCAGGTTTACTCTGAGGATAGCCGGATACTCCTCTTTTAAACTCTAGCTTATCAACTACAATTTAGTTTGTGTCTGGCTTTTATGCAAAAATCTTGAACAAGCTAGGTCTTGACATCAGTAGCAGTACTAGTCCCAGGCTACGTCATCAGCTCTCCGTGGCGTTTGAATAAGGAGTGCCTCGACTAATGTTGATTGGATACTTCCCGTATCAGGATGCCGTATGGACGAACGTCGGCTGTACTACCTCCACGGGACAACCAGTAATCCGCTCCTACTGTGGTTTGTGCAGCTTGGATGATTTGAAGATGGCCATTCTTCTGATCAGGATTAACTCGATTCTGTAATACAATCTTGTAGGTTTTTCCCTGATAATTGAACTCTCGAGTGTACAGCCTTTCGATCATTTCCAAGTCGGGACTAGTGTAAATGCATCTACCAAATACCGCTTTTGATCCGGGTTTACAACCCTCTTTTAAAATCAGCTGGGTACTCTTCATATTTGTTCCGTGATAGGACACGGGCCACTCCCCCGGGGCTTCTTCTGTTCGTATCCCGTCGGGGCCAAGCCAGGTATCATCCCCATATTTTGCCAGGACTTTGATGGCAATTCTCTTCCAACCATAATGTCGCTTGTACTGGAAACCACCTCTCATATATCGTCTACCATCGTCTTCAACACTATTCAAGTTGTAACCGAAAACAGGATTAAGTTCGTCTGTGTTAAACGCGGGCTGGGGTGGTTTTCCGCCGTATATACGATGTAGTATTTTGATGGTTTCATCGAGTTGGATTCCATAGTGATTTACAGTTCGGTGATTTTCAAGCATGTTAGGGGAGTAAATGACTTTGATGTCATCTTTGGCGGGGGCGGATCTAGGGGGAGGGTGCAGGGGGTGCGCACCCCCCCCCCCCCCCCCCTTGAGATGACCTGCGGTTTTCTAATACAACTGGTATTCTGCCAAAAAAAAACTATGTGGTTTATTGGTGTTGAAGTAGAGCAAGAGACGAGTACACCCCTCCTAAAAAAAATCCTGGATACGCCCCTGTTTGTAGATCTGTTTGCAGCAGATCGAAATAACTTTCCTCGATTTTAGCTTTCACTTCATCAATAGTATCCTCTCCTGTCACTTGGATAGTTGCAGCTTTGCCTGTTAAAGTTTTCGCATAAACCGTGAATTCCGTTCCAGCTTTTACTTTTTCCATTGTCTCTAATGGCTTCGTGACGTATGTTGGGCTCAAAAGATCGTGTAAGGAACATCTATCTCCACTCTCCACTCTATACATTAACTCTAATAACTGATTGCTATCGACCGCCTTGATCATAATAAAAAAGATCTTGGATGAAGTTTTTTAGTGTTATCAGCCGAGGCTGAATACTTACGTAAACTTTGATAATATCGTACATGACAAAAGAATTTTAAAAGAGCACCTGTTCAGGCGTCATTTTGCCTCGTGATGGTCAGCGAGAGGACTGGGTCATCAGACTTCCGGTAAAATTCTCGGAACAAAGCCGGAAGTACTTGATTACCATCGCCTTCCTTATACTCCATTTCTTAAGCTGTTTGTAAGGCTGCGTCCTTTGTAGCGTTGATGGAAGGTTCAAGAGGAAGCGTTGCATCTAAAGGTGAACCAGTAAGTCATCATAAAACGAGAATACTCTAGTGCCGGATAGAGGGGATAGCTGATGAGATATTCCCATTCTTGAGGTCGTCAAATACTTTTTTATCAACTTTAGAATTCATTGTCGTACAAATTTGTTAAATGAGCACTCCAATTCTTAGGGAAAGGAAAGGAAACGTTATGATATATGTAAATAACAGATAAATCAGATATCTTAGGTTTTACTTTGAAAGAGATTTATAGCCATTTTTTAGACCAAACATCAATCAATGATAACAGATCATTATTAGCTCGCTCAGGGCTGAGTAATACTCGATCTGGTTTCGGTACATTTTACGCTGAAGTAAAAGCTTTTCTCTACAATTAACTTTGTGAACTGAAATTCAAAAAGAGCATGCTACACCTTCTTAACTACATTAACAGATAAATGGCGTAAATGAAAACCTGTCCACGAACCACATGGATGTAAATTCTTTCAGTACTAAGACATGCAGTTGATGGAACATGACGCCCCAGGGGGGTATGCTGAGGAAGCCTGCCCCGACGTATGGTCGGTTGTATCTTGGTGGGGGTGTGCCACCCGGTTCTCCAAATCCTGACCCTATTTCAGACCAAACAATTCGTCGGATGTTTGCCATCGTATATTTCTTCGCATCGCATAGATTGGTCCCTGTTTTCAAGGCCCTATTCATGGCTAGACCTTAATCATGATAAAAGTTCAGGTAGCTTATGATACAACTGTGTCTATGGGTTTAACTTTGAGACACTGTCTGTCTATAAAGTTCAGCTATGCCACTCCCGGTCATTATTCAGCTAGCTTGCACGAAAGCAAACAGTTATAGTAATTTTTTTACCCACCCTCCCTCCCTTTGGAGGAGTTGTGTTGTGTTTTGTGTCAATAAAAGTCTGGCAGGTCACTCCTTGTGGTGCGGTTAAGTCCGCATTGCGACTTCCCCCAAGCTTTTGGAATTGCTTGTGTCTTGCCATCTTATTCCTTTGCCTTAATCTGGTCCCATCCAGCCCATACAGTGCTGGGGAGATATGAAAGGCTCTGCCAATACTCTTGTCCTACCCCATGGTAGTGGGGCGATGAGTGATGCTTGTGTTATTTTTTGTGCATAACCGGAAGTCGCTATAACCTGCCACAGGGTTGTGTCCCCCCTTGTTATGCCATCTTGTAGTTATAATAATCAACATAATAATAAGGACTTAAATGGATAACACAATAACAGGAAATATCCCAGTAGTTTTCACTGTGGCCTTTTGTAGTTTTCAAAATTATTTCTTGCATAGGAAGATCCCACAGTAAACCAGCAACCAGCAAATGAGGGAGACAATACAGCAACTACTGGTAAATATAATAAATGTGAAATAATTTATTGCCAACAAGCAGTCTTGCGTCTTCATGAGGCGGCAGCAGAAAGCTGCGCATGAAAGTTCCGGGGCGGAGTGAATCTTGAAGCGATGTAACATAAGATATTGTAAGGCAACTTTTATGATGTAATGCAGAGCAGAGAATGCATTGTTTTCGAGCAAACGAGCGAGCACGCGTATATACATGTAGATAAAATCTTTTCTCATTAGCACTTAGTGATAGCTATAACTAGTATTATATGTTTCACTGTTGCATTCATTTGTCAGTTTTATAATGGGAAGGCTAGGAGAAGATATGAATTTCCCATTTTTCAACATGTTTTACCTTCCCTTCCACTCTTTCTTTTAAATCCCTTGCTTCCAATCCCCACACCAGTCTTTAAAAACCATACAGTATCATCTTGATCATGTGTTCTATTTTTCCACAAAGGACCTTCATGGGGATGGAAAGATCTGGCTTTAGGTGCAGCAGTTGGCACTGCCGCTGTTGCAGCAACTCCAGTGGTCCTTAGTGCTGCTGGCTTTACCACTGGGGGGATCGCTGTTGGTTCTGCTGCAGCATCTTTGCAGTCAGTGCTTTATGGATCAACGGTGGCTTCTAGAAGTATATTCGCAGCATTGCAGAGTGCAGGGGTGGCTGGAATTAGTGCAACTGCAAGTGGTATCATAGCTGGAACCACTGGAACTGCAGCTGTGTTTATGAAAAAAGTTGGGGAAAGGTGGTTTTGGAAAGGCAAGGATAAGGAATCATGATATGGAAAAGGCTGATGCAAAAATGAGAAATGGTTTACTTTCACGAGAAATGAGATGGAATTGAAAAAAATCCATGTCATATTGTGCACTGTAGTTTTTCACAATTCAGTAAGGTTTACTGTATAGAAAAAAGGTTCAACCCATCAGAATTAATTAAAAAAGAAGACAAAAAGTTTGCACACAAAAAGTATTACATTTTCTTACACAGTGAAAAAAAAACATTGACCAGTGAAATTTCTCTTATTTATTTCCCAACTGGTTTACAAAACTTAGGTTATAAATAATTTTAACTACACAAAGTGTTCAACTAGTTCTACTTATTTTAGTCTGTCCTCAACAACAACACTGTACAAAAATAATTATTTTGAACTATTAAATGGTAGCTTCATATTAAAGACAACAGGAAGACTCAAAGAGTGCTTTACATTTATTTCTCATTGTATACCTGTGGCGTAGTAGTTTTCCCTGTTTGGTTTGTATACCACAGGGTCCTTACCACCCGCTATTAAAAGAACACTACAGCGTCTGATTGAAAAACACTCTAAAATGGAATCTATTTCAAGATCAAGTAACTTTATTTTCTTTGTTTGTGTTTTTTTCTTTTTAACTTAATTTCTTCCCTATTGAATTAATTGCAGCTTACATGCTGTGCAACCACTTTTCGTTGACAATGAAAGTATGCAAATAATGTGTGCCAATCTCTGTAACAGTTGTCTTCAACTGTCAAGAAAATCTTCATAGCCTGGGTCAAGGATTATAATATCATGACTGTACATGCCTCAAAGAAATACAGGAAAAGATACATTCAGAAATATCTTGGGAGCAAAAATAAAAAGATTTTTCCCATGAAACACAAATACAAACACACATACATTGAGTCCTTCATTAATTTTGTTTATAAAATAATTTATAATAATAATTATTATTTTCTGAGGAAAATGATAATGTTATTTCAGCACAATGCTTATTAGGTGACACTTATGAAATACTTCACATGACAACTTTGCATTTTGTTCTAATATCCCAAACTCTTTGCCATCTTCCTCTCTGTCTGCTGCAAGCAAAGCTTTGATGTTTAAAGTAAATAATAATAAATAATTAAATTTCAGTGCTATGTCTTTCTAAATGACTTTAGGATGGGGTAGATGTTTTCAAAGGCTTCATAGATTTCTGAGCGGACTTTAGCACCTGAAATAGATAATCANACTTATGAAATACTTCACATGACAACTTTGCATTTTGTTCTAATATCCCAAACTCTTTGCCATCTTCCTCTCTGTCTGCTGCAAGCAAAGCTTTGATGTTTAAAGTAAATAATAATAAATAATTAAATTTCAGTGCTATGTCTTTCTAAATGACTTTAGGATGGGGTAGATGTTTTCAAAGGCTTCATAGATTTCTGAGCGGACTTTAGCACCTGAAATAGATAATCAGGGACAATAATAAATATGAAATTATTTAAAATGCACATTATGAGAGAATGTTCTATGACCAGCTGTCATTGTGACCAGTGATTTGCTGCATGACAGTTTCTGAAGAAATGATTGTTAATCGAGGATGTTTTGACTATAAAGGAAGGAGTCATGGATAAGAGGACAACAGACATGCCCCCTATTATATTAATAATGTGAACAGTAAGCTTGGACGTTGCAATACAAAGGCGCCACTGGTAGCCACCCTGGTCCATTTATGAGCTTACTGTACCCACTCAACCCATGATGTGAATGATGTGAAGTGTGAAGGTTGACCACACCACCGGGGTCTATGTCCCCTACACTTTTGAACAGTGGTGTGGGTTCGTTTATGTCCCACAAGAACCAGATGAGTGTAAGTGCTGTGAGACGGGCCCTACGGTTTTTCCTATAAAGCTGAAAGACAAGTTCAACCTTACCAGTAAGAACCACTTTCCCAGAAACAAAAATCAGCAATACTATCCTAGGTTTGACCATTCTATAAATCAAACCAGGAAACAGCTCTGGTTCATAGCTGAAAGGAAAAAGAAACCAACCATTTAACAAAAATTAATACCAGTTTATGAACATTTGACTGTTAAACAACAACAGTTTTTGCAGTAGTTGTTGTCAAACAACAACTACTGAATAGAAAAAGAAAAAGAAATTATACACAATTTTTTATTATAAATTTTATAATAAAAAATTGTACCAAATGTGCTGTTTGTATTGTAGTTTATCATTGTCTAATAATAATAATTATTTTAATCACAATGAGGCAACTTTAAACAAAATAACAAAAGTTTATTGTAATAAATGTAGAACTTTTAATTTTCCACAGACCATAATATTAAAATTTTTATTAGTGTCACTTTAAACGAGGCAGGAGCAAGAAAGGTTTATGTTGGCTTTTCACGGCTGCTTGAGCGGGAGTTATGCAATTGGTAAAGATTTAGGACGCCTAACCAATTCAAACACTTAATAACATGATTATTACCTTGAAAACTGTCCATGGGCTAACACGAGGCCTTCAAGACGAATTGGAAATCTGACGTCACAACTACCTACCATGTTCTGGATTTTGAATTCTGTAAACTTTGCCTGCAATAGACATAAGATAAGAGTCAGACTCTCTACAACATGGCCTTGTTGCCCCAAAAGGCTATGCAAACCTACCCTTATCCCCATACAGACTTTTTCACCTAAAAATTGTGGTTTTTGCATTATAAAAAATAGTGCTGTACTTTCCTGAATTAATGAACTTACTGGAAAACCAAGCTTCTGTACAACCCTAGCATATTTTCTGGCTGCTAATCTGGACTGTTCTTCACTGCAAAATAAAAAAGATACATCAATGTCACAGGTCACAAACAATAAAATACACAACAAATACTAGGGGCAAAAGGATTGTAGAAGGGGCCTGAGGATCACCATAAGATAATTTCTCCAATGTTTTTTAGTCACAAATACCCTAGAATTACTGTGAAAGCGAACTAGCTGTTGCACAAAATGGACCTTGAACAACAAGAAGAAGACAACAAGCTCTTTTTGCAAGGAGCAAGAGAGCCATGATAAATAAACAGTTTGTGAATCATTTTGCCCGAATAACACATCTCAATCAGTTAGTCCACATTTCACTGCATACTCTTTGCCAAAGACATTTTTAAACAGTTTTTATTTTTTTCAGGCCTCTTTTAGTGGATTTTCACCATCACGCAGCACAAATCCTTTCACTATGTAACCAGAAGTGACCAAAGTCAAAACTTCATAACTTCAATTTGTAAACTGCTAAAAAACACATAATACCAAGTGAAAATACTGCCAAGAGGTTTTATTTCAAAGGTCACACTGCAGGATTTTGTCCATAAACTCAAACGTTTAAACCACCTTTAGATTTCCTCATTCACTCCGGAAGTGAAAAGGCTGTGTCTCAACAACAAACAGAATTCAAGGAATAAACTTGATGACTTAAATTTTCAGTGGTTGAGATGTGCGTCTTTTATTATGTTTTCTACTGGTCTGAGGCACCTTAAACCTGAAGGCCTTCATCCATCCTGATGAAGA